CATCTGTAACTGTGCCTCTAATGTATGACTCGTATATCATCAGTTGTATGTTAACTTAGTATTTTTCAATGTTATTATATTTGTGAATCTCCACCCACTGTTCCACTGCGCAGTTTCACACAGAATTGATAATTCCATATCTGTATCTTACCTGTTTGAACTTCAGATATTTCCCTTGCTGTTTTGTTTCCTGTGCTCCCCTATCTGTCTTCCTGTGTGTGTGTATGTGTGTGTGTGTGTCTCACTCTCCCTGCTACTAGATTGGTGATTAACCTGCACACCTGAATCACGAGGTCATCGTTTCAGCCAGTGTGGTAGATCATGCTCTCAGGCCGCTCAGAGTTGTGCATCCTAGGCGTGTGACTCTTTGTGCTTTTTTTCATCGCTGAACTAATCCATCCAGCCACGCTTACAACCCTTCCTTCATCCCTACTCAGCTCCTCAGCCTTCGCCCACCGTAATCCTCACCTCCATCCACCTTCGCTCCCTGAAAGCAGACATGAAAACCTCGTCTTATTCACTCTTACTCTAAGTCCACGTCCTGCGTTTGGGTTCCCCCGCTGATCGTCACAACTTTGAGATATTATCACCTTAAGTTGATACGGCGAACTTGTTAGCAAAAAGCAGTTACGTCCAGCAGTTACAGAGCTCTTTTCAGCTCTGCTTTTAGTCTTCTGAAGGCAACGTAATATCTGGTTGTTTGGTTGCTAGATGCTCCTTATGTTCATTAGCTGACTTTGTCTGCTGTTTGGTGGGGAGAAGGGAGAGTACAGTGTGTTTTAGACCTTTTTTCGCTGTCTGCTGAGATTAAACCAAAACTATGCAAAGCCGCCTAGACCAAAACTGAATACTTCACTTGCACATGTATTCTGGCACTAAGCAGTGGCACATGCATGCATACTATCATGCTTATACAGACATTTTGGAATAAGAAGGATGTTTCCACTTCTAAGGTGTGGCTCGAAGACTTTGACTTGACATTGATTGACACCCTCCACCTCGAAAAAATAAGGTTTGCTCTGAGGAGCAGAGAGTCGCAATTTAACAGGATCCGGCAGCCCCTCATCTGTTACCTAAAAAAAACAACCCGTAGTGGATATTGTTTATCCATTATTATTTTTCACCTCTTGTTTCTTATTTTCCATCGCAACCTTTACCATCGTATACAATGTACTGAGCAGAATGGAGGGAGTGTTTATGAGTGCATTTTCTTTGTGTGTATTTATGTTGGACATTATTTGTTGTACTCTCTTTGTTTTTTCTTTGTTTTTGTTTTTCTAATGGAAATGTAGACTGTTCTCCTCTCCTACATCATGCAATCTTTTGTCATGTTGTCATGTGTTTCAAATGATATATATTGTATTGTGGTATTTTAAAGAAAAAAAACAGAAACCAGAATTAAGCCATTTCTTTTCATTCCCAAATATTCAAAGTTAACTTGGGTGGGGAGGGGAACAAAAATCAAATAGTCTTGTGTCTTGTGTCTTTTTTTTTTTGTACTACATACTGTGAAAATCAGTTCATTTGATCTACTCCTACACGGTGGAAGTGAGGTTCATCTTGTTTCAGGGTAGAGTGCCATCAAGGGTGGTTGGTGATTCCAATCAAAATGATCCAGATAATAGGAGCTAAAAAAAAACTGACCTATAAAAGATCTGTCAACATCTCTAATTTTAAAGTTCACTGTACTTTTGTCAAGGTTTTCACAAGAGCCAGAGATATCACTAATCAATCAGTTACAGAACACAAATAAATACAGGGCTAAAATCAAAAGCTCTACATTCAAACCATGACTGCATGGTTTACATCCAAATCTGATTATACCGGTATGTGCCTTGAATTGGCAGTTTTTCTATGCATTGCTGCAAAGCTAACAGAGCTAGCACCAAAACATCATGCTAATGCTAAACAATGCCAGCAGAAGCTCTTGAAATTTTGCCAATATTTTGCAGATTTAATTCACCGCTGAGTGTAGAAAGTTCAACAAAAGACCGAAAGACACCTGGGAAACCAAACACTTTGTCCAGCTCTGCTCCTGCAAGTGTTTTATCATGCCGACCTGCCGAAGTGGAGAGACCAGGCCTAACCTGGCAGTGCAATAGTGGAATAGTGCAAGTGGCTTTCCATGGGTTACACATATAAACACATACTATACTTCAGTGTCCACCACCACACAACCCACATCATAAGTGCAGTGTCCAATGGTTGCGATGCACGGTTGTGTTAACCAGCCTCCTGGCGGCCTCTGAGGTGCACACCAGTGTGAGGGCCTGCTCAACGCTGCTTGCAGCTTTAATTCCATTGCTGTATGGGTCATTTTTACTTAAGTAAAGTAGCTGAATACTTCTATCACCATTGATTAATACTTGCTCACTGCTTTGTACAGAGCCCTGCATTAGGTGTCCACATATGTTTTGGTCAGACATTAACATCATAGGGCCCAAAAGAAGTAAACAGTATTAACATGCAAAACGTAAACCACACATAGGTGAGTTTAATGCTTTATTAGTGACACTTGGTTTTGTCCATTACAGACAGAACCTCATGTGTGTTCAACAGTTTCACAATTTTCTCCTTGGTGTCAGTGGGTACCCCATTACTCCTGCCATTGTAACACTGCACCAGGGACCAGTGGTGAGGGTAGTGGAAATAAGTTCAACTATGCCAAGGCCCGTTCAATAACCGAATGTGCCTTTGCAATAATAAGAGACAAGATGGTGGGGGCAATATTTTTTTAACGCAACAGAGGTAAAACATGCCCTCACCCCTGGGGTTGTGGCATGCCGTGCAATTTTGCACAACATTGCTCTATACTCTGGTGACATGCTGGATCAGACATGGGATATGACAACAACGAATAGCCCCATCATCAGCAGCCGGATCCCAGAGGGGAGCAAGTGAGGGAGCAGCTTGCAGATTCTGTGTCTGCTCCTGAGGTGCTGGTGGTTACACTCGCAGAGCATGATTACCTTTAAAAAACAATCATTCCCTACTACTGGAAATAGATGATCCCCGCAACCACTTCCTTCACAGATTGAGACTCTGCCACTCTTCGTATTTATCTCATCTAGAAAATTCCAATTGTTTTGTCAGAGAATTTTGCAAGTTAGGATTTTTCTGGATAACAGTGTATATAGTTATAGACAGACAATGATGAAACAGCACATGTAATATCAAGGAAGTGGGTATATAACAGGACTAATGGCTGTCCTTTTAGCAATTGTTTTTTTTAATACACAGACTATTTGATACTTCATAGATCCTTTTAATAAATATATAGATAAATAGAAATACACACAATCATTTCATTACATGTTTTTCACAATTTTTTCTAAGATTGACAGGAGCCTGTCCTCCTTCTCCTCTGCCCAAGTTCCAAGTCCTTGACAATGTTTTTCATCACAGTTTTCATTAATAAATTAACCTTACACACAGGTGTACACATGAGGTATTTGGCAAATTTGAGCTTCAACAGCATAATTTAATGTAAGGTTGGTAAATCAGATGTTGAAACACTTGATAAATGTGTTTATCACACGTGAAGTGTTTTTTCCTCATTTTTGAGTGTTTTTACTCCACTGTGACTTCCACCATTATCTTTTTTGGCTAACTAGCCTCTCATAGTTGCCAATATAAACAGTTACGCAAAACTGTTTGGAGCCAAGTGAAAATAGGACATGAAACATTTCATCGAGGGGATAGAAGGACAAGACTGCAACAAGTGTGAAATATATGGCCACTAATATCAGCTTAAAAGATAAAAGATTACACAAACAGTTACAAAGTTTACATTACAGGGAATACAAGTGCTGCTATTAGAAGTCAGACATATAATAGAAAACTACAACTACATAGCCTGTTAATTAACTATATTTGTAGACTATAACACCTACAGTTTCATGTATGCACTACTTATTGAAAACCACAGATGACCTGTTCAGCACTCTCACTCTCACTCAGCCTTTTATTGTGAACTGCAAATGTTGAGTAACGTTGGCCCAAGGGTAGGTCAGAGCAGGGAATTTTTTTTTTTTGCAGTAATTAAAAGAATCATTGAATTAACATCACATACACAAACATAAAATGCACAGAAATTTCAAAATATTTTATGATCACTTCAGAATCTCATATGAGCACTCCCATATTGAATTACGTACCTTTCTTTTCAGCTGTGGCCATTTCTGCAACAAAAATGAGAGAGGAGTTGAGACAGAAGAAAGAGAGCTACAGGACCAAAAGATTCTGATGGGCAAGGACTTTGTCATTGATTATCAATAACTGTAAAAAACTGTACAGAAAAAGCGTTATGTTATCAGTGCCTATTACTCAAATTTGGGCAACATATGTGGAGGCTTTATGGAGCTGAGTTGTTCAGGTTATTATAACCCATAGCTACAGTTTATTGTTAGTTGATTTCTCTTCAAAAGTGAAAAGATTCAGTTTTAAAATATCAGCAAGTATGTAAGCTAAACAGCCAAACAGGATTATTAGATCGAAATATTAAATTGGTGCACTGAAATATGTGACATCATCATCTTCCAACTCTGCCCTGCACATTTCAGGCCAGTGAGAAGAGCACACACAGAACACAAATACAAGAAACCCTCTATAAAATAACCACAACTGTTCACTTAAATCCGTCACTTACAGTAAGGAGTAGAAAAAAAAAGGTTTTCATTGCCCTTACGGTGTTATTGCAAAGCGTTTATTGTCAAATAAAATAAAAATGCCTGGTGTTTAACTGAAATGTTGTTTCACTCATATTAAACTCTCAAAGTTATTAGTGTAACTATCCTGGCAGAATAAATCCAAAGCTGCCTGCCTAGTTATTACAATGAGACAACCAGGGTGATCTGAGTGAATCTGAGCTAAAACTGTTAGACTGACAAGAACACTTTGGTCACACAATACACAATGCAGTGCGGAGCTTAGTGACATGGTATAGAAGGTTTTGTAGACATTTAAATGTCACTCATACAACACAACAAAACCACAACACATCTGTTTAGACCATTTATTTTGCTCCATAAGCACTTTCGACATGTTTAGCTTTTGCTTACATGAACATTACAGATGATTCTCACAGTGACAATCTGCACATAATCCACTGAAAGGTGTTGGTTGTTCAAGGTCAGGCATGTACATACACTGTGCAGATCCCATTATTATGTGCATGGTAATGTGTGTATGAATACTGTGCTGAGGTTCAGTACAGACGCAGTTGCAGGTGATTAAATGATTTTGGTCTTCACTGAAAGCAACATAGTGGTGTCATTGTGGAGAAACACTCAGGACTGTCCGGATGCTGTGGACGAAAAACAAAACAGACACTTGTTAATTGTTCATCTTTGCAGCTAGCTGGTAAATCATCAATAGTGGAGAAAGTATGAACACACCATTTGCCGTGCTTCATCAGTTCAATGGCGTCATTGACCTGGCCCAAGGTCATGTTGTGAGTGATGAACTCATCTAGCTTCACCTTTTTGTCCAGGTAGGCTTTAACCATCTGAGGCACACCATCCTTACTCTTAAAACCTGAGCCACAGAGAGTACACACATAATAAAATGACACCAAACCACTAGACTAGGTTACACTCTCCCATCCCCAACTTCCTGTCCCTAATCAGACACCATTAAAGGTCCCATATCAAGTGATATTTCCATGTCATTTTTGATTATAAATCAGGTCTAGGTTCTGTATTAATACTGTGAAAGTATCAAAGCGCTCAGTCCACAGAGAAATACACATATTGTATTCAGAGACTGAGCCTTAAAATGAGCCTTTAGGACTTCTGTAACTTTTTGATGTCACAACAAAGTAGTCATCCCTCTCAGCCATGCCCCAAGCCTGGCCTCTTTAAACCCATTACCCTCAGTTTCTCCTTAGTGTTTGTGAAATCTGCTATATTTTTATTCAATCACTTAGAAAAGAGCCAATCACAGACCTCTTGTTACTAGAGCTCCAGAGAGAAGGGATGTAAAACTACATTGAGATGGTTTTTGATTCTTAAAACCATAAATATATCTTATCATTTTAAATATATCTCCTTGTAGACATTAAAATTTCAAATAAAACACTGGAAAAGTGTCAAATATGGGATGTTTAAGGCACTGCTACAGCTGCTGATGAACAAAAACTGCCAAACAGCCATGCATTTGAGCATTATACGGAAATAAATACTGAACTGCAACCACCAAGCCCACACTGTACAAACTGGCCTCTAACAAGCCACAAACAACACACTATCATCAGCATCATGTCTCCCACCAATTGTTCACTCATCCTTCAAGGTCTTAACAAAAAGTTTATTTATGCATTCATCTGTAGTATGAATGCATAATGAAATCTGCATCTGCACTCTTACACATCCACATCCCCAGTTCATGTTAGGTAAGATCCACACTAGTGAGACTGACAACCAATCAAAAATGACAAATAACCACCTATGACCATAACAGCTGCAGTTGTGTTTTTAATTAGTGCGATGCGTCTCACCTCCAAACAGGGAGCCCTTCCATGTGCGTCCAGCGATGAGCTGAATGGGTCGAGTGGCAACGTCATACAAGTCTGTCCAGCCAACCAACACGCTGACACCCCAGCCTTTCACACAAGACTCCAAGGCACTGCGCTAAATGATCAGAGACATCACAAAGTCAGTGGCCTTGTAACCACAGGGGTTCAAATCCCCAAAGTAACTGAGAAAATGTAGTAGTTAGACTTCTTCTTGAGAAATAACCTCAATTACAATGAGCCTTCAAATCTTGTGTCTTATGTAAACCTCTCTGTATGCCTCACCATGACTGTCACATTCCCGACACACTCCAGGGAGTAGTCCACTCCTCCATTAGTCATCTCAGCCAGCACTTGGCTGATGGGTTTATCGTGATCCTTGGGGTTCACAAAGTCGGTAGCACCGAACACCTTGGCCTTCCCAAACTTGTCTGGATTGATGTCAACAGCGAAAATCCTTTTGGCTCCTGCAGACTTGCAGCCCATGACTGCAGCCAATCCCACAGCTCCCAGGCCAAACACAGCACAGGTGGAGCCTGGTTCAACCTAAAGTGGCAATAACTAAACATGTCACTTTAGACTTCTGGACTTCTTGGTGTTCTTTACAGTAATAAACATGGTTCATTTCCGATGTCTGAGAAAATAAATTATCTCAGGATGGTGTGAGAAGAATTCATTACATCAGGTATTAGCCTTCACCAATACATGTTGGACTATGCCCAACAATAAGACATACAAACCTTTGCAGTATTAACTGCTGCTCCATATCCAGTGCAAATGCCACATCCAAGGAGACAGACTTTGTCCAGAGGGGCAGCAGGGTCGATCTTTGCTATAGCGATCTGGTTCATCACAGTGTACTGTGAGAAGGTGCTGGTGCCCATAAACTGCAGCACCTTCTTCCCCTTACAGGTAAACCTGGAGTCTGCTGGTGCCATCATATCATGTCGACCAGAAGCCCTGAAGAGAATTAATTAAAATGAAAACATCTGAGGCTACATTTGTGCATTGCTTCTGTTCTATTAGAGGAAAGCAAGAAAAATGTTCTGAGTAAACAGAAACCACCTGAATTTGTGCGTGTGTGAGATTGAAATTGTGCTAGTTAAACATTATTGCTGAAACACAGGTTGGACTGTGTTATGTCAACATAACTGCTCAAAGTAAGTTTAGCATATTTTTATGTAATTACTGTATATCACCTTGTTTGCACATATTCAGTGTTATCAGCTCCTATAGCTGGTGGTCATTGCTTAGGCCCATGGGATTGAGTTGAAAGAGAGAGTGAGCAGAATTAGTGGGGCTCAAATAGAAGTGTAATGGTTTGATAGATCTGTGTTCTTTAAAGTTAAGAGAAAAATCCAGAATTTGTCGGACCGATTTATTCCTTATCACATACCCACATCGTTTATAATAGAGAGCACTATGACATATGTAAGCACATACTGTAATGCACACAATGTTAATGCACTATCAAATAGGTCTGTAACATGATGCACACATCCTGGATACTAAGAGATGAGATGAAAAAGACGAGCTCACCATCCTTTTTCACACTGGTTGGTCTTAGGATTCTTACAAAAGCGACATTCTCTACACTGGGAAACGAACAGAGGAATCACCTTGTCTCCTGAAATTCAAGAACAATGTAGACATTACTTATTACACAACATTACTTTCATTATTTTTAGGCCAATTTACAAACTAATAAACCAAATGTGAAAAGGTGGACTGAATGGTTTTGATCTAGCCATTGTCACTAAGTCTTACCGGCAAAGAAATACAAGTAATTAGACAAATGAAAACTGGGGTTTTAAGTTTTAACTGACCAGGCTGAAATTCAGTGACTCCAGGCCCGACGCTCTCCACAATACCAGCTCCTTCATGGCCAAGGACTGCTGGGAAGCCATCTTTGTGCATGCCCTCAAAGAGGTGGTAAAGATCCGTGTGGCACACCCCTGTTGCCACAATCTAAACCGAAGACAACAATCACACAGACTAAAGAAATTTCTGATGCATGTTTTATGTGAACAGTTGGGAATTCTTTGTAACTGCATTAGCAAGCAACAGTTTGCTGAACAATTTCCCTGAACAGCAAGAGTTTCAAGGGTGGTGTCTTGCTAGCTTATGACTTATTTATTACGAATGTATTAGCTAGCTGGCTACAGCTGATGAAATCTGCAACAGTTCTCAAAGAATCATTGTTTCAAAAATTATTATTTTGAGTGGTACAATTGCCACCTCTATCATTGCAATCTGTATACGTACCATGCGGGAATTAGTCGTGGTTTGGGCCAAACTCCTGAAAACATCTTTGATTTTTAGGTCTGTATAGCATCATCAACTACTTGTTCCAACTTTGTTTCCAAAAAAACAAAATAATGAACTAAAAGATGCTAAAAGCTGCATAGAGTTGCTGAGTTGATTGTTGACTCTCAGAGAGACTGGCTGTACTAGCAATCCGTTGACATTGTTTTGATTAAATAATGATATCAAATATATCACATATGGATTTTAAATGCTGTACTTGGGCAAGGTATGAAACCAGTGCAGAACCTGCTGATTCAGAACTCTGATAAGGTGCATAGGTATTGCAATATTTGAGTTAATTCATTCACACTACGTTTGGAGTGAAGTCATATTAGATCAATGTGCCCTCCAAGAGGCTACGTCTCCAAGACAACCGATTTAGGCATGCTAACATTTGATTGACAAGGACAGGGGCTATCTGAAGGTTCACGTCATGTGAAAATATCACAATAGTACCTGACGTCATCAGAAAAATGTCACCTGATGTTATTTAGCCATGTTAAATAGTGTTAGCTAGCAAGATAACCCTGGCTTCTGTCTTCTGAAGGCTACAGTCAGGTTGCTAGCAGGAGTAAAAACTAAAATGGAGGAGATCAAATTATGAATTTAATGTGTCTAAAATAGAAAATGAATATGAAAATGTCAACATTAATACTATGCCTTTATTTATGCCATACTATACTATAAAATTCTTATGCCTTACTAAAATATGATGTTTTTATGACTAAATATACAATGATGTTTTTATGACATTTCATGACAGGCACAGCAGAATAAAAGGAAACTCTAATGCCTCACAATACTAGAACTTTTGATGATCTTTTGATGACTTTTTATGCGTTACTATACTATGACGTTTTTATGCCTTACTATAATATAAAGTTTTAATGCCATTCTATACTATGTTATCTTTACGACTTTTTATACCTTAATATACTATGACTTTTAAATGCATTACTATTTTATGACATTTTTATGCCTTACTATACTATGACCTTTTGATGACTTTATATGACTTACAATGCTATGACCTTTGGATGACTTTTTATGCTTTACTATAATATGATGTTTTTCGGACTTTTTATGCCTTACTATACTATGACGTTTTTCAGACTTTTTATGCCTCACTATACTATGACTATATTATGAATTACTATGTTATAATGTTTTTATGCCCTTCTGTATTCTTTATGAATTTTTATGCCTCACTATACTATGACTATATTATGCATTACTATGTTATAATGTTTTTATGCCTTACTATACTATGATCTTTTGATGATTTTTTATGCCTTACTATACTATGCTGTTTTTGTGACTTTTTCTGCCTTACTGTACTATGGCGTTTTTATGCCTTACTATACTATGACTTTTTCTGAATTTTTAAGCCTTACTATACTATATCGTTTTTATGACTTTTCATGCCTTACTATACTATATCGTTTTTATGACTTTTCATGCCTTACTATACTATATCGTTTTTATGACTTTTCATGCCTTACTATACTATATCGTTTTTATGACTTTTCATGCCTTACTATACTATATCGTTTTTATGACTTTTCATGCCTTACTATACTATATCGTTTTTATGACTTTTCATGCCTTACTATACTATATCGTTTTTATGACTTTTCATGCCTTACTATACTATATCGTTTTTATGACTTTTCATGCCTTACTATACTATATCGTTTTTATGACTTTTCATGCCTTACTATACTATATCGTTTTTATGACTTTTCATGCCTTACTATACTATATCGTTTTTATGACTTTTCATGCCTTACTATACTATATCGTTTTTATGACTTTTCATGCCTTACTATACTATATCGTTTTTATGACTTTTCATGCCTTACTATACTATATCGTTTTTATGACTTTTCATGCCTTACTATACTATATCGTTTTTATGACTTTTCATGCCTTACTATACTATATCGTTTTTATGACTTTTTATGCCTCACTATACTATGACTATATTATGCATTACTATGTTATAACGTTTTTATGCCTTAATATACAATGACCTTTTGATGACTTTTTGTGACTTATTATAATGACGTTTTTATGACTTTTCATGCCTTACTATGCTATGACGTTTTTATGCCTTACTATGCTATGACCTTTTGATGATTTTTTTATGCCTTTCTATACTATGCTGTTTTTATGCCTTACTGTACTATGACGTTTTTCAGACTTTTCATGCCTTACTATACTATGACTTTTTTCTGACTTTTTATGCCTTACTATACTATGTTTTCATGACCTTTGGATTCTTTATGAACTTTTATGCCTCACTATACTATGACTATATTATGCATTACTATGTTATAACGTTTTTATGCCTTAATATACTATGACCTTTTGATGACTTTTTGTGACTTACTATATTATGACGTTTTTATGACTTTTCATGCCTTACTATGTTATGACGTTTTTATGCCTTACTATACTATGACCTTTTGATGATTTTTTATGCCTTACTATTCTATGCTGTTTTTATGCCTTACTATACTATGATTTTTATGTCTTTTTACCCCTTACTGTACTATGATGTTTTTATGCCTTACTATACTATGACGTTCTTATGAGTTTTCATGCCTTTCTGTACAATGTCGTCTTCATGACTTTTTATGCCTTACTATACTATGACGTTTTTATGACTTTTTATGCCTTACCATACTACTGTACTATGATGTTTTTATGCCTTACTATACTATGACGTTCTTATGAGTTTTCATGCCTTTCTGTACAATGTCGTCTTCATGACTTTTTATGCCTTACTATACTATGACGTTTTTATGACTTTTTATGCCTTACCATACAATGATATTTTTCTGACTTTTTATGCCTTACTATACGATTATGTTTTTATGACTTTTTCTGCCTTACTATACTATGACGTTTTTGCCTTACTATATACAATGACCTTTTGATGAGTTTTTGTGACTTACTATACTATGACATTTTTATGACTTTTTATTCCTCACTATGCTATGACCTTGTGATATCTTTTCATGCCTTACTATATTATGACGTTTTTGTGACTTTTTATGCCTTACTGTACTATGACGTTTTCATGATTTTTTATACCTTAGTGTACTATGACATTTTATTTTTATGCCTTACTATACTATGGCGTTTTTATGACTTTTTATGCCTCACTATGCTATGACCTTGTGATATCTTTTCATGCCTTACTATATTATGACGTTTTTGTGACTTTTTATGCCTTACTGTACTACGATGTTTTCATGATTTTTTATGCCTTACTATACTATGACGTTTTATTTTTGTGCCTTACTATACTATGCTGTTTTTATGCCATACTATACTATGATATTTTTCTGACTTTTTCTGCCTTACTATACTATGGCGTTTTTATGCCTTACTATACTATGACTTTTTTCTGACTTTTTATGCCTTACTATACTATGATGTTTTCATGCCCTTTTGTATTCTTTATGAATTTTTATGCCTCACTATACTATGACTATATTATGCATTACTAAGTTATAATGTTTTTATGCCTCACTATACTATGATCTTTTGATGATTTTTTATGCCTTACTATACTATGCTGTTTTTATGCCTTACTATACTATGACGTTTTTCTGACTTTTCATGCCTTACTATACTATGATGTTTTCATGCCCTTCTGTAATTTTTATGAATTTTAATGCCTCACTATACTATGACTATATTATGCATTACTAAGTTATAATGTTTTTATGCCTCACTATACTATGATCTTTTGATGATTTTTTATGCCTTTCTAAACTATGCTGTTTTTATGCCTTACTATGCTATGACTTTTTTCTGACTTTTTATGCCTCACTATACTATAACGTTTTTCTGACTTTTTATGCCTTACTATACTATGATGTCTTCATGCCTTTTTGTATTCTTTATGGATTTTTATGCCTCACTATACTATGACTATATTATGCATTACTATGTTATAACGTTTTTATGCCTTAATATAGTATGACCTTTTGATGATTTTTTGTGACATACTATAATGACGTTTTTATGACTTTTCATGCCTTACTATGCTATGCTGTTTTCATGCCTTACTATATTATGACATTTTTGTGACTTTTTATGCCTTACTGTACTATGATATTTTTCAGACTTTTTATGCCTTACTATACTATGACGTTTTTATGACTTTTGATGCCTTACTATACTATGATATTTTTCTGACTTTTTATGCCTTACTATACGATGATGTTTTTATGACTTTTTCTTCCTTACTATACTATGACGTTTTTGCCTTACTATATACAATGACCTTTTGATGACTTTTTGTGACTTACTATACTATGACATTTTTATGACTTTTTATTCCTCACTATGCTATGACCTTGTGATATCTTTTCATGCCTTACTATATTATGACGTTTTTGTGACTTTTTATGCCTTACTGTACTATGATGTTTTCATGATTTTTTATACCTTAATATACTATAGCATTTTATTTTGATGCCTTACTATACTATGCTGTTTTTATGCCATACTATACTATAATATTTTTCTGACTTTTTATGTCTTCCTATACTATGACTTTTTTCTGACTTTTTCTGCCTTACTATACTATGGCGTTTTTATGCCTTACTATACTTTGACTTTTTTCTGACTTTTTATGCCTTATT